CAGAAAAATCAATAAAACTGAAGGTGGGGACGATTTCTTGGAAAAACCAAAGCAGTTACACGCGAACAAAATTTTTATTGGATGAACTGATGTTCTTTGCAGTTAATGCAAAACATAACTCATGTTACGAGGTTTATGTAGAGTGCAAAGATAGTTTTCCTCTGACATTGGCTTCACACAAAAAATGGCAATTGAAAAAATCGGGTTTTTCGTAATACTTAAAATAAAAACATTTTTTATCCGATTTTCTTCAAATATGTCGCAAAAAATTTGAATGGAGCCCTGGTGGGGAGCATCTGCGTTCGTGCGAGAGGATGTAGATGATGAGTGGTCATTCAGGACAACTTTCATTTCACGATTAGATAGGAATGACTGGATAAGCTCAAAAATGTGTCCGGAGATAGCATAACTTTTCAGCTTGTTGGGAAGACATGAATGCCAGACCCTGTCAAAGGCCTTCGAGATGTCCAATGCTACAGCGCGGGCTTCACCTTTTTTTTATCTAGAGCATGATAGGCTCTTTCCGCAATTATCGTTAGTATATCAGCAGTAGACCTGGAAAAAGAAAAGCCGTATTGCTTCTCCGGGAAAAGCCCCTGCGATGAGAGATGATAAACTAATTCAGGATAGATTAGGGCCTTTAGGAGTTTCCCAAAAAGAGGTAGACGGCTAATAGACCAATAGTTTGATGGATCGGACGTTTCACCAGAATTCTTAAAAACTGGAACAACAGACGATTACTTCCAGCAGGCAAAAAAGTAGGACGCAGCGAGACATTTATTATACAGTTTAGAGAGAACAGGAGCCAGTTCAGGAGCCATCTCAGCAGCCAGTTCAGGAGCCATCTCAGGAGCCAGTTCAGAAGCCCATTTCTTAATGACTACTACAGGGATACCATCGGGTTCACATATTTTGTGGAGATCCAGCTTAGAGATAAGAGCAGAAATAATGGAAGGGGTTATATGCATATCACTCAACAGAGAATCAGTTCTAAGTGGGAAGTTAGACAGGAATACTCCAGACGAGTCAGGAGTAGAGTCTGGGGAGAATTTACAGGTAAAGCATTCAGCTTTATCAGCAGGGTATTATAACACCTCAAATCGATTGAAGAGGTGGGAGGAGGCGAATAGAGACATTGTACTTATTTAGTACCTTATTCCAGTGACGCCAGTAATCATGAGATCCAAAGTGTTTAGAGGCTATGCGGTGCTTCATTCTCTCAGCAAACAGGGACTTAGCTCCTTCGAGGACACGCTTACATTTGTTACGATCAGTAGCAAATAGGCCCCCTATTATAACGAGACCTGTCACGTTGGTTTCGTCGGAAATAGTGGTTCATGTGTGCTATGGCAGCAGAGCATGCTGTTGTAAACCATGGAGAAGATTGCGGTTTCAACTGGTATTTCCGAGAAAAAACGTCCATTCCGACTTTGACCCAAGAAGAAACCTCAGTGGCGTAATTTTCAATTGGTATATTGAAGGTGTTATTCCAAGGGGCGTCATAAAGAAAATCCCAGAATAAGTCCCAATCAGCATGCTGGTAACGGAAATAGGTCATGGATAGTGGTGTGTCCTGTTTAATGGATGCTTGAAGGGAAATATCAATAGCTACCACAGAGTGGCCCCAGTTGCTCAGTTTGGCTAGGGAAATATGTGAAAGATTGGGCAATGGAAAAAATTAATGTCTATATACCGGCAACATCAGTACCTTTAGAATCTTTCAACCACGTGTCATGGTGAGCATTAAAATCACCAAAGACAAATTGTTCGCAGATGGATGGAGAGAAAGTGCCTTTTCTATACTGTCAGCTATTGCGTCTAATATATTGTAATATTGGGAAGTGGGGGAACAATAAAGGAAAAAGAGATAGCTGACAGAGTTTAGTAGCGAAAGACGGAAGTACATAAAAGAGTAGTCAGCGGCCTCGGGAGACAATTCTCTGGCCATTGGCAGATTATCCCGGGTGTAAACACCAAAGCCATGCATGTGAATGCTGGAATCTTTTTAGATCTTTTTTAAAATAGAGACCGTACAATAGAGCAACCGAAAAGTTATTTTAAAAATATAGAAAGATACAGGAATTAGTCCGAATTAACCTATATTCACCGACTGCAAATTGTGGGAGATTCTGATTTTAATTGTTTTAAGTGGTTACTCTGCATATCTCGAAAGACTTTGCTTTTGGAATTAACCTTGCTATTCATCCAGACACACTAACAAATGATAGCTATCTTTTTCGGGCTGGCCTGCTTTAAGTTAACGCAAATATTACTTTCTTTTGAGAAACAAATCACCACTTTTTCTGGTTTTTTTTTTTTTTTTTTTTTGTTTTTTTTTTTTGTTATTTGTTTTTTTGTTATTTGTTTTTTGTTTGTTTTTTGTTTTTTTTTCGAACTCCAAAGTTCAACAGTATTATTAGGCAGGCACACCATTGAACCCACCGGATGTAACTCTATCTCTGCATTGAGATTGTGTAGCGTCCTAACCGGATGCTCCTAAATGGTCATCAGATCCCTAATTCCCCAGAGATAAGAGATCAGGGGAGTGGGATATAAAAACACAGGCACTGATTCAGGATAAAGCTCTCTGAAAGTATCGATATGTAATGATAGAAACCAAGATAAGGCTAATCTTTGAGAAATCAATCTATTTCTCTTATAACAGGTTTCAGCAGGTCTCGTTTTTCCTTTACTTTTTTTAGACTCAAACTGTTGATTTCGTGATCATCACCACCACCCCCTCTCTCTCTCCCTTTCTCTCTCTCTCTTTCTTTCTCTCTCTCTCTCTCTCTCTCTTTCTCTTTCTTTCTCTCTCTTTCCCACTTCTATGTATCGTTATCCTTCTCTCTTTCTTTTCTCTTCACTGAAGCGGATGCTTTTGTCTTTACCTCTGGTTAGTTTTCTATATTTTAGTTTGCTTCACGCTTTCTTGCTTTTTCTTATTTTTGTAGTATTTTTATTCTTTATATATATATATATATATATATATATATATATATATATTGTTTATTCGTAATTTTCTTAATTTCTTTATTTTTTATTCTTTCTTTAGCTCGTTCTTTCTTTTTCTTCTTTTCTTTTTTTCTCTAACTCATTCTTTCTTTCTTTCTTTTTCTTATTTGCTTTTTTATTCTTTCCACATCTTGTTCTTTCTTTTTCTTATTTGCTTTGTCTTTTTACCATTTTTTTTAATCTGTTCTTTCCTTCTTTCTTTCTTTTTCTTATATTCGTCCCTTTTTCTTCTTTCAACTTTCTCCTCCTCATTCCTTTCTAGTTTTTATTCTTTCTTGTTCTGTTGCGTTTTCTTCTCTCTCTCTCTCTCTCTCTCTCTCTCTCTCTCTCTCTCTCTCTCTCTCTTGCTTTCTTTAATTTTCTTTTTTCTTTCTTATTCCTTCCTCCTTTTCTCCTTTCTGTTCTTTTTCATTCGTTTTCTTGGTTCTATTCTTTTTTCTTTAATCTTTTTCTTTTTTTTATTCTTTTGCGCTTTTATCTTATTATTTACCTTGTTTCCTAATTATTTACCTTGTTTCCTATTAATTCTACTACTTTTATTCTTCCATTGCTTATTTTTCATTTTTCTTTTAACCATTCCGTTTTTCTCTCTTTTTTATACTTTCTCACTTCCATTCATTTCTTATTTCTTCATCTTCATCTTTTATTAGGCTTTTCTTTCAATTGTTTCTCAATTGTTTTTCATTCAATTCTTTCATTTGTTTTTTCATTAATTTTTACTTTATTCTTTTTCTTTTTACTTTGTATGCGTTGCTCTCTTTCTTTCTTTCTTTCTTTCTTTCTCAGTTTGAATTTTTCTTATTCTGTCCGTCTTTCACGTCATTGTTTAGATTTGTCTTTCTTTTATATTCATTCTTTTTACTCTTTCACTCTTTCTTTTGTTTCTTTCTTATACTCTCTTTACTTTCTTGTTCTTTTTCATTCATTCTCGCTATTTCTGTATTCCTTTTTCTTTCACTTTTTCCTTTCTTTATATTTCTGTTTCTCTTCCTTTTCGTTCTTTCTTTCGCGTTATCTCTGTATTTATTTGTCTCCTTCTTTTCACATTTTTTTTGTTCCATTTAGCTATATTTTCATTTGTTTTATTCTTTTCTTCATTCTTTCAACTTGGTCTCTTTCCTCGGTCGTTTTTTATTCTTCCTCTAAACTCTGCTTTTTCTTAATCTTACTGTATCCAATGGCGTATAAGACACACTTTTGATGGAGTTTAAGACTCACTTTTCCCCCAAAATATTGGAATTTCAAGAATGTGCAATAAGTGCCTTTAAAAACTTTTGTTTTGAAGCTGGCATATAGATGAAGATCTAGTTACCATCCAACATTTTTCTTCATATTCTCTGCTGAAATGGCGAGTGTTCTATGACTAGATTTTATTAAAATGCTAATAATGAGATTGACTATTTCGATACAGTAAGCACTCAGCGCTAATTGACAGAACAGTTAACGCTAATGACATTTATAAAATCGACATAAAATACTCAAGTTCACTGTTATCGCGCTTTCTACTATTGATGGGAATTTCCTTCTAAAATTTTTGCTTTTGGTCATGTGAAAAGTTAACAGCTTCATTTTGTTGAAACTTGACTAATGCATGGAATAATAATGCAACACAAAATGTATTGAAACAAGAAAGTGTACACAATATTTACATATAGTCTTTTGTATATTCCTGGTAAGACCGTTCCTGGAGAATGTGTTGACTGAGTCGCAGTCGGGCAGTCTCTGGTTAAATCTCTTGATTCCTGTATTTATCTATCCACCCACGAGGATAAAATGTGGCACAAGGCCGATTTAAAGTGGGTATCTTCGAGCCCGTAAGCTCGGCCAAAAATATGGCCTTTCTGAACCCGCCTAGACGGGTTTAAGGCCTGTCTACCACCCCGGACGAAACCCTGCCTCAGAGAGGTCGACTGAGAGTGAATCTCTTGATTCCTCCCTCTCTTCCCGGTACCAACCATATTTATATGGTCGGTACTCCACTATGCAAATTAGGTGGATCCTACCACAACACATTTATAGCATTATTTTTCTTCTAGTTACATATGTTACCCATTTTTGTTGTTGCTGATGTTGGAAGTCTTCAACTGATGTGGCTGTGGGTTTTTGGTAAAGCTTTTTGGGATTCTGTTGGAAATCTTCAAGTTATGTGATTTTTGTTGTTATTTGCTAAAGTTCTTTGGCATTCTGTTTGAAGTCTTCAAGTGATGTGATTGTTGTTGTTATTTGCTAAAGTTCTTTGGCATTCTCTTTGAAGTCTTCAAGTGATGTGATTGTTGTTATTTGCTAAAACTCTTTGGGTTTCTGATTAAGAATTGTCTTCTATCAGACTTAAAGTATTCATTCGGATGTGCGTTGTGGCGCAAAGGATGTCGTCTCAGAATAAGAAGTCGGAGAGCCGAGTTCGAATTCCTGTCATGTTCGCTACATTCACTTACGCGGAAATATACTTGAGAATGTTTTGAGTCTATCTCTCTTCCTTCTAGCTATTATATTTAGCTACCCCCACCCCACGAGAGTTGCATGTGGCACAAGACCGGTTTAACGTGGGTTCTCCGTTCTCCTCCCTCTAGTTATGGGTTGAATAGCAGCACATACTGGGTTATATAGCTTTTGTTGGCAACTAGTCTTCCACAGATAGGTGCGGCAAACTACTGCGGGGAAAGCTTCTCCCACGCCAGCCATTAATCGAAAGGCACATGCTCGCCTAAGCGTGTATATATGTCACTTAACTGACTGACTGATTGAATTTGATAATAAACTTAAATAAGTTAGGCACCACTCCAAACGGTAGGAAAATATAGATATAAAATTACTTGTTTTGTGCAAGTTTTCTAAAAGGAGAAGGCCTACTTTGAAAATCAGCGTTCAAATGTCTGGCTTTTTTTATGGACGCAAACTTAAATGAGAAAATGCATAACTAATTGCACTAACAGGTACTTCTTCTTCTTCTTCTTCTTCTTCTTCTTTAACGATTACTTCCCCTGCACCTTTTCCCACATATTTATTATTTTTTGATGTTTTAGCTTTCTTTGATTATTTATTTTATCTATTTCTTCACACCTCGTTTCATACATCTTTTTATTTTCGCTTTTATTTTTCACTTGACTATCTCTTAACTAATTTTAATCTAGCAATTCATTCTTTACCTCGCTACTTTTCTTTCTTTCTTTACTAATTTTCTCTCTCACTTCATCTCTCTTTCTCTCTCAACAAACGCGTGCACACACACACACACTTATATATATATATATATATATATATATATATATATATATATATATATATATATATATATATATATATATGAAAAGTGGAAGGAAAAGGAAGGTATAGAATACGATGATAGGAAAAGGGGTGAAATATATTTCACTCCTGTTTTTCTTTGTTTCTCAACTTCAAATCTAATCCCCAAAATAAGCTCTCTTTACGGATTTGAAAAAAGACAAAATATATAACATTCTCTTCCACTGTAATTATCTCTTCCTCTTTATTCATCTGAAGCTATTCATATATATCTATCAAAAAAGATATAACAATTGTTCCTATCTATCTACCTATCTGTCTATAGCACTCTGTTCATATCTATCTATCTATCTATCTATCTATAGCACTCTGTTCATATCTATCTATCTATGTATCTCTCGCACTCTGTTCATATCTATCTATCCTCTATCTATCTATAGCACTCTGTTCATATCTATCTATCTATCTATCTACCTATCTATCTATAGTACTCTGTTCATATCTATCTATCTATCCCTCTATCTATCTATAGCACTCTGTTCATATCTATCTATCTATCCCTCTATCTATCTATAGCACTCTGTTCATATCTATCTATCTATCTATCCCTCTATCTATCTATAGCACTCTGTTCATATCTATCTATCTATCCCTCTATCTATCTATAGCACTCTGTTCATATCTATCTATCTATCTATCTATCCCTCTATCTATCTATAGCACTCTGTTCATATCTATCTATCTATCCCTCTATCTATCTATAGCACTCTGTTCATATCTATCTATCTATCTATCTATTTATCTATCTATAGCACTCTGTTCATATCTATCTATCTATCCCTCTATCTATCTATAGCACTCTGTTCATATCTATCTATCTATGTATCTATAGCACTCTGTTCATATCTATCTATCTATCCCTCTATCTATAGCACTCTGTTCATATCTATCTATCTATCTACCTATCTAACTATAGCACTCTGTTCATATCTATCTATCTATGTATCTATAGCACTCTGTTCATATCTATCTTTCTATCCCTCTATCTATCTATAGCACTCTGTTCATATCTATCTATCTATGTATCTATAGCACTCTGTTCATATCTATCTATCTATCCCTCTATCTATCTATAGCACTCTGTTCATATCTATCTATCTATGTATCTATAGCACTCTGTTCATATCTATCTATCTATCCCTCTATCTATCTATAGCACTCTGTTCATATCTATCTATCTATGTATCTATAGCACTCTGTTCATATCTATCTATCTATCCCTCTATCTATCTATAGCACTCTGTTCATATCTATCTATATATCTTATATTTTCTGTTTATAATTTCTTACTTTTCTTTCTTTCCTGCCTCCTACTATTTTGCTTCATGTACCCGACTTTTTATTTTGTTCACTACTCTTGCTATTTCTCTCTCTCTCTCTCTCTCTCTCTCTCTCTCTCTCTCTCTCTCTCTCTGCACCCCCCAATCATTATTATTAATGAATAGGTTGCGGCGTCCTGATGCCAACAGATGGCAGAGGTTTGTGCGACCAATTAAATAACTGATCTCCTTTCTTTGTTGTCGTTTTTGGGATTCATGTGTTTTACTCACATCCTGCTCCTCCTTCTCCTCCTCCTCCTCCTCCTTTTTCGTTTTTTTTTCTGCAAAAAAGGGTGCTGAAAAATTGTCGATCCGACCCACTTCTCAAACTCTCATCAAATTGCCAAACATCATATATCTTCTTTTTCTCTTCTTTCTTTTTTTGTGGGGGTGAGCTTCTAAGTTGGGCCGAGAAGTTTTCACCACTTCCTTATACTTCGTCTCCTCCTCTTTCCTCTACCCCTCTACTCAGTATCCCCACCTCGCTTTCCTTCTTCTTCGTTTCCTCCTTTCTTTCGTTTTTCCATTTCTATCTTCTAATAAATTCTTCTATCTTTCTTTTTCTTTCTTTTTGCTAAACGATTTTGTTTGAGAGAGAGAGATATGTTCCTTCACATTTTCTCACCGAGTATTTCTTCTTTTTATTCTTTTCTTTTAATCTTTTTCATTTATTCTTTAAATTCTTTCATTCATCTTAGTCTGGCTTTCTTTTTACTTCTTTCTTATTTCTTCTTTTTCTTCTTTTTCTATTTTTTGTCCCTCTTTTTCTGTCGCACACATGTTTCAAAAAACACGATTACGCGCCTCTACCGTTTAGATATTTTTTCAGTGGTAAGAGAACCAAAAAATAGCAAACAGTTTTTGTGACTTCTTTTTTCTTTGAAAGGAAATATTTGTCCGGAAACGAAACGAAACTTATTAACGTCTCGTCATTTTTATTTTTTTTATTTTTGTTATTTCATTTTATTTATTTTATGTCTGAAACTCAAATAGAACTCTTCGCAATAGTTTAACATTAATACCAGTAAATTCCAAACCAGGCAGAATGCGTTTAAATATTTTCTGAAAAACACTTTTCATGAGTTTTACGTATTCTCTTCGTTTGTAAACATCAGATGATAACAGCAAAACTGTTGAATCCCTCGATAAATCCGCGATGAAATTATAAATCTGCCATATTTGTGGAGATTTTATAACATGATATGCGTTTAACATCAACAAGTATTTAGTGTGGAAAATACAGCTCTATGTTTATCAATACTTGGATCAAATTTTGAACAAGTAACACGTCATTCTACGGAATAAGGTGGTAGTTATATAGCCAATATATGAATTATAAGTGCTACAATCTCCCAGGGAACAAAAACATTTTCAGATGGCATTAGTATAACATAATATCGTTGATTATCAAGTTTGGTAGTGGATGTGTATTTGTAAATAATATTTTCAGATGCTCTTTCGTCGGGCTTAAAATTGTAATGAATTTGCTTTCGATAAAATAAGTTTACTAGAATTTATTATTTTGTTATGGTTGCTATTTATATAACTTGGCTTAATTTTCTTTGGCTTATGGCAACATCAAGTTGAAACACTGGTTCCCGTACAATCACGTAAGTTAAGCAACGCCAAGCCTGATCAGTACCTAGATGGATAACCGCATAGAAATACCAGATGCTGTAAGCTTGGATGTGCGGGTGGTGTAATGGATAACGACTCGGAAGTGTTAATCAGAGAAGCCGACTTCCAATTCCATTTGGATTCGTTATATACACTTACGCGCAAATACCCTTGAGAAAGCTATGAATTTACCTCTTCTTTCCCCCAGTTATGGATTAATTAGTAAGAATTGGATCAGTAAACCATTATTATCTCCAAAAAAAAATAAAATAAAATTGCGTACAAAATATTTAGATTTCGGCATTATATAACCCATAGAGATTGATATGCCGCTAAACAAAATCAACCAACCCAGCGAAATCAGACATAATATCGTAACAACAGAAGTCTTCGAACTGTGATGTATTAGGTTGATTAGTAAAAATTCAGAAAAAAAAAAACTGCCGAAAACATCCAGTCAGAAACAAATGGAAAATTCTATTACTTTGTATTGACTGACCTACGTTCAGTCGTTAGGAGAGAAGAATATTTAACTAGAAAAAAACAAAAAAAAACAGCAAAAAGTGTATTGCTTTTTCTGTAACCTTAAGTGAACGTATATCAATGAAAAATAGCTGCTTAAATAAACATTTCCTATAACGGCTTACTTTTGACAAAGGCAGAAAGATTTTGAATTATTTGTTATCTACCAGGATACTTACATTATTGTTCTATTCGGTTTCATAGCACAAAAGGTTATATGCATCTAGTATTAATATTATGTTTACTTACCAACTAACATGTTTAAAACGTTTCTTTATTTAGCCTGTAAATTTCCCAAAGCTTGTTTAATATCTACAAACTAAATTAAATGCCAGGGAGACTTTCAGAAAACTATGCAAAAAGAAACACACACACACACACACACACACACATATATATATATATATATATATATATATATATATATATATATATATATATATATATATAAACATTTGGTTAAAAGAACCAACAAGGTTTTTCTGTTTCATTTTTATCGTTTTATTTTTTTATTTTTCCTATTTTCAAATAAGGTGAGGAGTATTATACTCGAAGTTGTGGATAAACTCTTCGAAGTTCATATTTTATGATTGCTTTTTTCAAGTATTTTCGATCATCGCAATCATTTTAAAGGACCAATGTGGTGTCTGTGTGGTAGTTATAATTATTTTGTCTACATCCTGGTATTGTTTGGAAAGGTGTAAATTTAAAATAGTCTAAGGTGACGTCATCAGTAACGATTACTGGGAACGAGGCTGCACAAAAAAATGCAATGTTTTTTTTTATATATAATTTATTAATTTTTTTATTTTATTTATTTATTTATTTATTTGGGTATTTTTTCTTGTATTAATACCAGGATGTTTAGATGAATATTTACTGCGTAAATATACCTTATTCTAAAACAAATTTATATATATATATATATGGGGGGGGTTGTGTGTGTGTACATACTGCTGTAGATGTTATTATGCAAGTGAATGTTTTCATAATAAAATTGCTTTTAAACAAATGATTTTGTCAAAATCCGCAGTATCTATTGATATGATAAATGTCCCATGTGGATTTCGCTTTATTATATCTAATTTTATTGTAAATATTTACAATAAGCTATTTTTTGGTGTGTGATTTTATTATGTAATTCTAAGGTTTTTCAACGTATTGTAAATAAATGTACATAAAATTACACGTATTGATATCGATTTTACGATTTCAGATATATAAAAATTGCTTTAGTTTGAAAGAAAAATAATCTCAAGCAAGAAAGAAAATATGATAGAATTATTGAATGATGGGAAGACAGCGTTGTAAATTGCAAAAAAATAGTTGAATTGAAATCACAGAACAGCAAAAGAAATATTGAAAAACTTGGCAAGATGCGAACAAGAAAAATGGCTTTAAAAATTATGCAAAAAGAGATTTGTGAAAAAATTTAAAATGTGTATTAAACAAGAAAAGTGGATTGACAGGAAGAAAATATTTGAAGAATTTGGTTTCGCAAATGTAAAAGATGTAAAAGAGAGAAAAGATGTAGAATAAAAAAAAAACTTAGCTAAATGCATGAAAGCAACCAAAGGTTTATATATATGTATATATGTGCTCGCATTTCTAAAATTTCATAAATATCTATTGTTCTACACAAGACACTGACATTCAATATGTCTATATATATTATAGCATTGGCTTACACACACACATACGCATGCGCATACGCATACACACACATATATATGACGAAGCTTTAATAAAAGTGAAACATGTTAGATTGATATACATTTCTTATTTGTTTTTTATTTTATCATCCTGTCGGTTTCAGATCCATATTTGATCTGCATTTGATCTTTAATACATACATATATATATGTGTGTGTGTGTGTGTGTGTGTGTGTGTGTGTGTGTGTGTGTGTGTGTGTGTGTGTGTGTGTCATTTCCTTAAATAGGATAAATATCAAAATGTTAACACGAAAAAAATTTGGGAAAATATCTGAGGAACATTTTCGGCCAACCCATCGTTGGTGATATTATTATTATTATTATTTTCATAGCAGGAACGATGAAAAGAAAAAAAAGAAAAGAAAATCGACAAAAGGAAGCCTTTGTTCGTTGTCTTCTTTTGAGAAACCATTAACTCTTTTTTTTCTCTCTGCTGATCTATTTCTGGTGTTTTTCACGTCTGTTTATCAATTTTATTCTTTTTATCTTTACAAATTGAATTGATTTACCAACTTAGATTGTTAAAATTTTATATTTTAATAGTGCGCCAGTTTTTGGGGTTTTTTTCTCATGTAGTCGCAAAAATCAGTTTTTCGTCGTTCCTGTTATAAAAAAAAAATTATAATAATTTCGCCAACGATGTGAATCTCCGTATTGATAAAAAAAATATCGCATACCTTCAGCAATAGGATTGGCTTTATTCAAGTTCTCGTCAATTTTAACCAATTTTCCAAAACCATCCCTTTTATGCTGTTCTAAAGCATCAGACTCTTACCCACAAAAGTTCACTGATTTTGTTCTGTAACGTGGGACATTTTGTTTTCTGGCAAATTCACACTTATGAGAATGCAGCTTCAACTTTGTTTCATCACTGAAGGATCAGATTTAGGATGCAGATTCTTGTGATAATATCACTTATCCCAAGTGTCTGCATCCTACTACTCATACCAATTTGACAATGTTAATTCCGGTTTCTTTAGAAATTTTCGCCATGATTTCTAATAATGAAAGAATGCAAGAATTGTCGAATTTACTCTATATGTAGAGAAAAATCAGTCCTGTTGCGAAAAAAAAATTGCGATTTAGTGGAGGAACAGAAAAGAGAAAATAAAAACAGCCAGGTGCCGAAACATTTTGTACTGCTATTTTGAAATCTCTCATAATTTAGAATTCTTGCTAAAAAAAAAAATATACTAATGAGATGTTAAAATGATCCAAAAGTCAAAGTCCCATCTGTAGACAGTGAAGATATTCACTTATAAAGTGTTAATTTTTAAGAATTTACAATAATTTAAAATAGCCTTTTGAACGGTACTAGATAGATAGATAGATAGATAGATAGATAGATAGATAGATAGATAGATAGATGGTGCGATGGGTGAATTACCGCCATTTCATATTTTTAATTTTGCGCATGTGCGTTGTTTGTTTTTGATTTTGTCGACTGCACAGTATAGTAGGGTTAGTTGGGCGCGGTCTGTGAGAAAAAGAGCACAAAGATGCAATTCACTCTGCTAAAAATTTGGAAGCAGAATGCTTTACTGCTTGGCATTCACGCCGGAGCGCTACAATAAGAACATTTCAGAGTGTTAGGGTATCAATCTGAGAACAGTGCAGAGGAAAGAGTTGGATGAGTCTAATGGTGATTACAAAGGGACGGCAGCTCAGAAAGCACACTCTGATAAGAAAAGAAGACCCGAATTCGTTGGTCTCACGGAGGCCTACATCAAAAATATATATATATATATATATATATATATATATATAGAGAGAGAGAGAGAGAGAGAGAGAGAAGAGAAAGAAAGAAAGAAAGAAAGAAAGAAAGAAAGAAAGAAAATGGATTTATTTTTAATCTGCAGTTTTATTAAAGCATTATTAAGTGGATATTCAAACTTCGATCTTCGATAGTCCCCAATATTTTTTATCTATCATATATATATATATATATATATATATATATATATATATATATATATATATATATATATATATATATATATATATATATATATATA